GGGGGAACGAGCGGATCGGGACGGTGGGGGGTTCGCCTCGTTTCTCCTGGGTCTGGTGTTTTGCTGGAGCTGGTGATCGATTTTATTTATCTATTTGTTCTTGCTATTTCTCTCTTTCTGTATATATATATATACATATATATGTTGAATCCTCACCTCGCTTGCCCCTCGCGCCACCGCAAGGGTTGCGGAAGGCTAATCACGGCCCCATGGGTTGCTGCTTCAGGCTGTGCTTGCCGGGGTGAGGATTTTGTGGGGGCCTGGCACGGATTTTGGCGGCCCCAGCCCACCCCTGGCAGGCATGGGGAAGGACTTGGTGAAGCAAGTTTGAGGCTGTGCTGGGAGCTGTTCCCTGAGAGGGGAGCACTCAAGTGCTCATGGCCAACCAGGGGCTCTGAGGGTCTCCCTGTGCACAGACTGGGCATGAGGACTCACTTTTTTTCCTAGATATAGTTGGAGTGGCCCTCATGCCTGGCTTTTGGGTGTACAAGCACTTGCACAAGCTTTACTCCAGGTTCTCATCACTGGCGTTGGTTTCCTCGCTTAGGACCTTTCCAGTGGGCGCCCATCACTTTGTGGAGTGTCGCTGCTCTGGGAAGTGCGTGCACTTCTGCTGGAGCAAGGACTCCAGCAAATTTGCCCGTCTCTGGGGAAGACGTTCTTATGCCAGACTCCATAAGTTAGTGTATTTGCACTTTTAGATATTTGCAATGTATAGATTGGAACGTTATTATATGCTGGGAGTGGTTGGAGAAGTAGATATGTATAGGACATCATGTATCCGAATGTGTCTTGCTTAAATGAGCTTGGAAAAACTACTTCAAAGTTACAGCTAGATACTATGTAAATTGTAAATGCATGTGAGGCTCTCCAAACTGCATGCATCTGCTAGTGTATATGCGCACTGTCATGTGCAACTTCATTTTTATGATTTTTTTTTCTTTTTTCTTTTTGTTCAGAAGAACAAAATCCCAGCTGAACTTGGAGTAGATCAGGAGGGTTGTGTCTTAAGCCGCTCTGTGCTGAGAACTGGCGTGTACTCATGCCAAAGAGTGTTGGGACGGGGAGGAAAGTCTGTGAAAGGCTGCGCAGTGGCCGGGCAGGCTGTGAGGGGCCGGGTGCTGGGCAGGGTGTGAGGGGCTGTGCTGTGCTCCACGGGCTGCTGCAGCCCTGCGTGGGGCCGTGTGTGCAGCGCGGAGCACTGCGCTGCCCGCGGGACTCCGCGCGGGGCTCCGGCGGGTGCCTGACCTGCGGGTTTTCCTCTCTCCTCGTCCTAGCCCTCTTCCCGCAGTCACTGCAGAGCCGGTGCTTGGCTGTGTGCAGAGAGGCGGGTGCAGGGAAGCGCTGCGAATCCCCCGCGCCGTCCCGGCCCCTCAGGCGAGTGGCATGAACTTGGAGCCGGCCGAGTGCGGGATGAACTCGGTGAGCTGCGGCAACGGGAAGCTCCGCCAGTGGCTGATCGACCAGATCGACAGCGGCAAGTACCCGGGGCTGGTGTGGGAGAACGATGAGAAGAGCATCTTCCGCATCCCCTGGAAGCACGCCGGCAAGCAGGACTACAACCGCGAGGAGGATGCTGCCCTCTTCAAGGTAGGGCTCGGCCGGCCGTGCGCCGTGCTCGCTCCTCGCCATCCCCTCCATGCCGCCCGCTCGTGGCACTCAGGGCCCCACTGCCCCCCGCCGCCTCTCCCATCGCCCCGTCTGTGCCCCTTGGTCCCTCCGCGGTCTGGGTGTGCGGGGTGAGACCGCGCTTCCCTTCCCCGTTCCCTCGTGCGGAGCTGAGTGCTCATGAGACTGCAGCGCACCTATTTCCATATCAGCTTGATACCATTTTCTCCCTTTTCTTGACTCTCCTTTTTCCTTACTGTGTTCCTTAACACATTCCTAATGTTGCTTTTGCCTTAGCCTAAATCTGCAGGGAGTAAATTCATGCGCATATAAGCGTGCACATACACACACACATATATATATGATGTTTCAAGCAATGTGATCTTGTACCTTGTAGTCTGATGTCTTATTTTTTCCCTTTCTCTTTTGATTATCTGAAATGTTTCCAGGCTTGGGCTCTTTTCAAGGGAAAGTTCAGAGAGGGCATTGATAAACCAGATCCCCCTACCTGGAAGACAAGATTAAGGTGTGCTTTGAACAAAAGCAATGACTTTGAAGAACTAGTGGAGAGAAGCCAGCTGGACATCTCAGATCCCTATAAAGTGTACAGAATAGTGCCAGAAGGAGCTAAAAAAGGTAAAATGACTCAAATTCCCTGTGTAATGGAGTGTGAATATTTGGCTCACTGTAAGCACATGAGGACTGAAGCGTGCTTTTTGGGAATGGCCATGCAGTGTTTTTATGTGCACTAAGTGCTGCGGCGAATACAAGGAGCCCAAGTGCAGGGCTCAAGTACATCTTATTCTGGTGACTAAAATAAGAGGCTCCGTCTGTAGGAGGACAGTCAGTGTTTGAGTCAGAGTGCTACAAGGGAGCCCTTTGTAAAAGATTCTTTGTGAAAGTCACTGCAAGAATTGCTCTTTTACCTGGCGCCTTCCTTCCAGCTCTCTGTAGATAGAGGCCCAGGTTAAGCAAATGGCTCAAAGGAAAGGGAAAAAAAAGGGGGGGTTGGATTTGGATTTTGGAAAAATGGAAGAGCAAAAGTGTTCTGAGCCAGGCAGCACAGCGCTGCTGTGGGGAAGAACTGGGGCCGGTTGCCGCTGGTCTCCAGCACGAAGGCTGGGGATGGTAGAAGGGCAGCGTTGCTACAAGGGCTGGCAGGAGGCAAAGGCTCAGCAGGGTCTGGGGAGAGCATCAGAGCACTCTGGGCTGTGACTGCAGGGCATTTCCCACCCCAGGAGGCTCGGGGGGACAGGGAGCTGCCCTGAGCTGCCTGGGATGGGAGGGCTGCGCCGTGCGGGCTGCTGGAAGGTGTTCGAGCCGTGAGTTTGCTTGAGGATGGGCTGAATGGGTTTTTCTCCTTGTGCCTAAAGATATAATTGACATCATTGATTTTCCTCTGTCTGGTGTCCATAGGTGCAAAACAAATGAGCATGGAGGAACAGCCATTAATTATGAATCACCCCTTCCCAATACCTTCTCCTTACACTTCACTACCATCTCAGGTATGACATTAATTATGTATTTTACGTGGTGCTTCCTCATTGAGCAGCAGCATTTTTGTACAGTGTCCTATGTGTTGCTTTGCTTGGATGGCTCTCTTTAGTTCTGTCTGGGAAGGCACTTTATAATAAAGACCGAGAAATTGAGAAGCAATTTTCCTAATGTCATCTGAGGCCACAGGGCAGCTGATTTCCCTTGGTTTTGTTTAATCCTGAGCAACAGCTCTTTTCTGCTCAGTGATAGACATTAGTGATTGCCACCCCCTTGACGCCAGCATGCAAGCACCCAGTGAAGCATTGCTCTTCCAAGCAGACATTTGCCAGCAGTGCTTTGACTGCCTTTTGTTATTCTACTCTGCTTATTATTTACACTAGCGGGGAGAAGTTCACTTGAAAGTCTCATTGGTGGTGGTGGCAAAGTGCCATTCATGTCGCCTGTGCAATGCTGACGCTCTGCGAGCTTTGGCAGAGCAAATAATACCAAAGAACTGAAATGTGAAAGCTGATGCAACCCATGGCATCAGTTTCGATGACTGCCAAGTAAAAGAATATCTTGTTAAATTGAATAGGTACAAAACTACATGGGGCCCCATGAGAGGAACTGGAGAGAATTTGCCCCGGAGCAGCCCCATCCCGACATTCCCTACCAGTGTGCCAGCATACCTTACGCAGCTCGCAGTCATCATTGGCAAGGGCCTGGTTGTGAAAATGGTAAGACAATCCGGTTTAGGGTGAATTGCTCATCTTGGCTAAAAGAGATAGTGATTTGATCACCCTAGAAGGACACAGATTGATTGCATGTTTCTTCTGCCTAGCATTATTTGGGATTAACAGAGGTGGTGTGCTAGACTTGCTGGAATTCCTACGGAGAGCTGGGGGGTCCAACTACCCTCATGCACCTTTGCTTGGCTCTTGCTGCCATAGGTTCATGGTGTGGGTTACAGAGTCACCTGAGTTAAAATCGTCAAGTCAGCTCACAGAAAAGCTCAGCTGTCTTAAAAGCCCTGAGCAATGAGAAAGAACCCTCCCCCACAATAAATAACATGGGAATATGTGGTCTTTAGCTTTGCTTTCCAATTCGTGATGCTTTGAGGTGCATGTTTATGAAGGTTTTTCCTCCAATCTTGTGGGTTAAAATCATATCCTTCTCCTAGTAGGAAAAGAGAAATTATTGCTTTTATTCTAGTACTGTGGGAGTTGAATAACTTTTCATGGATTGAGTCTCTTGGTGCTGGTGCAGGACAACCAGAATAAAGGGATGTTCCCTTCCATACAGCTCTTACACTATAAAGTCTAATGTAAGCCTAGCTCTCCAAGTTCTGCATCCTTAGGAAAAACCCTGAATCATGCGAAAATTGGCAATGCTAAAAACTGCAGGGCGTAAATGTGAAAGAAAAAGAAGCACAATCAGTGCCTTTATGGGAAATAGAGCCACAAGGCCTCACATACATAGGCCAAGTCTGTAGAAAGGATGGAAGATGAACCCAGGTCTTCTTTGCTGAGGCTGTGTCATAGTCATATATCTTCTGTGTGTCAGAAACACTTGCAGAATAACTCATCTCAGTAGGCAGATATTTGCTTTGGGAGGAGCAGAAGAAGCTAGTTCAGGAGGACAGAAGAGGGTGTGAAGTGAGGAGGGACTCGTATTAAGTCTTCAGAGCACAATTCTCTAGTGGTTTGGGGGCAGAGATTTAAACTTCTATTTCTGTGTATCTGCTAAAAAGCAAATACTCAGCATCATTTCCTGAGAGTCCATTGGGACTGTTAGGTGGAATCATCGCTGACCATTGAGCTCCTAGCCTGAGTGAGCTCTGCCCTGAGGAGCATCCTCTGCAGCAGTTACACAGGTTTGGGTGCTCTGCTGAGTTTGGAGGCAGGTGTTAGTGGCTGGTATTGGGTTTCTCACTGGACTGTCAGGATTGTCAAGAGATGCTGAGACTTTGGATCCTTGTAGCTCCAGCCCTTGGGATCTGTCATTGGGAAAGGCTGTGTGTGCTTCTCTGCAGGTCACGTGTATCTTCCTCCAGAAATTTGTGTTGACCAATAAGAAAGAGAAAAAATTCAGTCACTTGTGTTATAATCTGTTTGCTGGTAGGCATTGCTGGCATCTATCTAATGCTAGTCCTGGTAATAAAACCCTAATAATATCTTGCTGGACAATTTCTTTATCTACTTTTTTATCAGCGTTACTTCCAGCTTTATTATTTCACCTGTCTTCAATAAAATTCTTTAAACAGTTCATTTTATGCCAGCAAATTTAACAGCATTACAGTCTAGTTAAAATGTAGGTTATTTCTGTAATAAAGTAGCACATTCTTGTTAGTCAGGGAAAAAGTATTAGAGGGAGTACTGAAATGCCAAAGGAGCATTTCATGCAAACTCAAATAAAAACACAATTCAGATAACATTTAAAGAGATTTGTAGAGTTGGCACATTCAGAAAAATGGGAAGTAGGACCTTTTTAGGAAGAAGAGGGGGAAGAGAGAGGGTTTCTGGTGGGGCTAAAAAAAAAAAAACTTTGCTTTTGCATAGCTGTGATCTTTGCCCAAACTTTTCTTACAATTTAGGCAATTGTCACTGTCTTTTGTTTGTGAAAACAGGTTGTCAGGTGACAGGGACTTTTTATGCTTGTGCCCCTCCTGAGTCCCAGACTCCTGGCATCCCGATTGAGCCAAGTATAAGGTCTGGCGAAGCCCTCGCGCTGTCAGGTAAGCTGTGTAACTCCTCAGGGTTCCTGGGGAGCTTTATGTGAAACTCTCAATTCTGACTTGCCTTGGCATCGTTCCTCCTTGATTATGAAGGAAAAAAAAAGAAAAGAAAAAAGAAAGTTCTCTAATGATTCCATTTGGTGCATGGCCTCAATCTTCTGTTCTTCAGGATATTCAAGTGGTTCATGTTAATGCAAGTGCTTTGCTGGATCAAGGCACTAGTGCAGGATTGCTTCCGTGAGCCATCAGAGGCCTCCCTGGGAGAGCCTGAAAGTCTTGGGAGGGACAGAAAATATTAACTCAAATTTTGGGAGGAGCCCCCAAAAAGACTGGTCTTATCTAGGTACCTTACTCTGCTTCCGCTGAAATGTTCTGGCTTTGCTCTGCTTTATATATTTATTTATTTATTAAAGAAATTCAGGGAAAAAAAAAAAAAAAAGAGAAATAATCTTGGTCACGTTTGCAGGTGACTTTTCAAATAACTCCAAAAAAAAAGGTAAAGGAGTGTGTTTTTTGATCTAGTAATGGATAAGTCTGCAACATGGAGCAAGGCAAGTTTCTTGAGCAGGGTTCAGGAGAACATGAACCAGGGTCTATACGTGTAGCTGTGTGGGCTTTTAACTGTGTTGGCTGATTGGTTGTTTTAAAGTAAGGCTGGGGATTTCAGGTAAGCGATGCTTGAGCAGGAACCAGCAGCAGCTTTCTTTATGGCAACCAAGTGCAAGTTTGCAAATCCCCTGTGCAGAAGCCTCTTTTATGCAAAAATCTGGGGAGAGACACAGCTACTTCCTGATTAAATCTGAGGAAGTGTAGTGAACCAGTGGGTTTAACTGTGATGTAAGCCTGGAAAATGTGACGAATGACTTCTTTCTCATGTGTGTTTTTTCTATTAACTGGAAATGTGAAGTTTGTCGGACTTCTGACTTTCCATATCAGTAGCCCTTCATAAAAAAAATGAGTGAATGCTCATGTTACTGTGCCCCAAAAATGTTAGTACTCAGATTCCTTATGATTTTTACTTATGTGAGCCTTGTCCCTTGAGCAGTGATGGCTGCTAATACCTACAGAGGCTCAGAAATCTCACATAAATTTGTCTCTTGGCCTTAATACCTATTTGTACTGTAAAACACTTGTACTGACGTATGTCAATATTTCTTTTTTCCTCCTTGTAGATTGTCGACTCCACATCTGCTTGTATTATCGTGAAATACTGGTAAAGGAAGTAACAACAACCAGTCCTGAAGGCTGTAGGATATCCCATGGCCAAAGTTACGAGGTCAGCAGCCTGGAGCAGGTTATCTTCCCTTACCCTGAGGATAACGGCCAGAGGAAGAACATAGAGAAACTACTGAACCACTTGGAGCGAGGAGTAATTCTGTGGATGGCTCCCGACGGCCTGTACGCTAAGAGACTTTGTCAGAGCAGGATCTACTGGGACGGGCCCCTGGCACTCTGCAGCGACAGACCCAACAAGCTGGAGAGGGATCAAACTTGCAAGCTCTTCGATACTCAGCAGTTTTTAGCAGGTAATTCTTACAGTGGCTTTGGTGTCATTTTTGCAGATAACACACAGTCACTCTCCATATTGGCTTAATGCGAGCGCTCTTTTTGTGTCCCCATGGCAGCTGGCAGAAGCCAGTGTTTTGCCTCAAGCTACTCCTTTTAACCAAGGAAGCAGTCAAATTCTCAACAGCTCCATCAAACTCTGCTCTCTGCACACAACCCTCAATGCTCTTGCCAAAACCAGCAGGAGGGAACGGGTCTGCCCCTGAGGACCCCTAAAACCCATAGGACAATTCTGAGCACTGATAGAGAGGGGGAAAATGGCATGTGCTTCATGACTGTATCTTTTCCTTTCAGCCTGTGAAGGGCAGAACCTCAACCTCACTCTCTAGCGCTTTGAAGCAACGAGAGGGAAGAAAGCAGCCCATTCAGATAAGCTAGTGGGAATGGGTGAAATGAGAGGAAGACTGAGCAGTGCAGATGCACTTTGCTCCCTGTTTAAAATGACCAGTGTGGCTATGGCTTGGCATATTTTCCCATTAAGACAGAGCACCAGCACTGGCATGCATGGGTCTCTCAGGAAAATAATACCATGCAAAATAAGAAGTCAAACCCAAACCAACAGCTTTAGTATACTTTTTTATTCCAGGGCTGATGTATCATCCTAGCAAAATGACCAAGCAAGAAAGGCATTTTAAGAGAAATCTCCTATGGATATGAGAATTGACAGTTAAAAAGGGGAATTTGAGGTCAAGGTATCAGGTTAAGCTTCAATCACATGCTAATTTAAAGACATAAAATTCTGCCTGTGATGATGGTTTTGGAAATCCCTTTCCCTTTTCTCAGGTAATTTTTTAGATGTAATCTGGGTTCTTCCAAACGGTTCACAGGATGGATCTCTTTTTAGCAGCCTAACCCCAAAGATAAACTTAAACAAAAGCTATTTACCCTTCCTAAATTACTTATGCACCAGTGCCTGTGCAAACCCAAGCGTGTGGCTACAGTCATAGTCTGCAGTGTGTGCAAAGTTGAGCTTTTGCATATTCTGGTGCTCAGCTAGGTTTATAAATGACTTGTCATGAGCCTATCCTGTCTGCAGATTAATTTTAAATACTGACATCCCAGACAAGTTTGGGGATTTCTTCATTAGGAAAGTGGACATTCCTTGTGAAGAGACACAGCAGATTTCCACCAAGTGGCAGAAGCAGAACTGCTGTGGACCGTAGTTATTGGAGTCCTACTGAGGAACAAGACCTCACGATGCAGAATATGCTGGGCAATCAAGTCCTGTACTAAAATGGCAGTAACTCAGAAAACAGATGTTTGGAGAGTTCTGTGCAATAAATGCAGTATGTCGTGGTGGGTGAAGAGTGGGAGGGTATGGAAAGAAAATTTGGGAGCATGAAGATGAAAGCTAGAGGAAAGCTGTCTTGGCAGGGAGATGGGTGGCTGGATCCGGGATAGGCAACCGTTTGGGTAGGAGTGTGAGGAGCCTTATGGTGGAGCGGGGAGACTCTTGGGCATGGGCAGGAAGAAAGAGTAAGTGGATGGTTTGGAAGAAGCGCGAGGTGGACCCTCAGCAGGTGGGAAAGTGTTTTCTTTTCCACTTCCATGTTAAGGATGGCTGTGTAACACTCTCACAGGTATTCAGGATTTGGAGAATTACTGAGGCTGAGCAAAGCCAGGGGGAAAGAGAAAAATGGGCCAAGTGTATTAACAAATGAGACAATGTATCAGGAACTGGACTGGCCCTGGTTGGATGGTCTTTCCTTGTCCTGTAGTAGGCTGAGGAAGCAGGATCTCATTAAAATCTCTCTTCTCTCTTAACAATCTTCTATAAGGTTCACAGCATTTTAAGTTTTTTTGTTTGTTTGTTTGGGTTTTTTTTTTCTTTTGGCGGGGAGACTCTGAAAAGAGCTATGCTTTACCTTGTGTTTAAAGTGAATTTGCCATTGTCAACCTTTATAATCAACCCTCCCACTAAGGCCAGTAGCCTCCAGCCAGGGTCACTGAATTTGCATCTTGGTCTCACAAGTTGGATTAGAAATGGCAACTGAGCACTTTGAGAAAAGATGCATTTGTTATCTCCATTTCAGAGACTCTTGTTTTCCTGTATAGAAAGGGTACTTCATTATAAGACATTGATTATAATATTAATTCCATTTGCCACTTGTTCCAGAGAGCAAAAACAGAGTTATAAATTAAAATGTACTCTCTATCAATCAGCTATGTAGAAAGACTTCACAAAATGAAGACTTGAGGTCTTATTATATTATTATTGAGGTAATAATATGATTTGAGCTACCTTTTCCCTTTGCGCAAGGGTGTGGGTTAGGGAAGAGAGTACAGGAGTGCAAAAAAAGTGGGCTCTTGCCCTGGCTTGCTGCATAGTTTGAATAAGGCCATTTGCCTTTCTGAGCCATCACCATCCCCACCAGGAACAGTGACGGTAATAGCTGCATGGCTCTGTCTAGCTAAGGCTAAGTGTTGGCCTGGCAGTACTGTGAGCCTCTGCTTCTACATACTTAGTGGTTTCAGTGTTACTGTTGCGTGTTGGGGGTTTCTCAGATACAGCTCAAGGTTTTCCCCCTCTGCTTATTTAAGTCAGTGGTAAAATTCATGTTCACTTCAGCGGGGCCAGGCTACCACTCGTGCTGGCTCCATAGCAGGAAAGCAGACGTAACAACAAGAAATGGCATTGGGCATATGGAGGAGATGGAAGGAGATGCTAGGACTTTGCACAAAGTGAATCGAGTGCAGCCTGGAAACCTAGCTGTGGCAGTAGACGAAGGAAAAAACTTGCATAGGACTGTCTAGAAAATGAATGAAATAATCCCTTTCCTTTTTGGAGACCTGGCAAGATGGACAGTGTAGACTTCCTAGCCTCATTTCAATAATATATCAGTAATAATCCCTTCCATCTCCTATTAGCCTGTACTAACTAAAAATAAACAAAAAAGCAATATACAAGCAGTATCATCCTTGCAAAGTGGACATGCACACAGAAGAACCACAGCCGGGTCCATTTCTAAGGTCCCCTGTTCCAGAAGTTTCTAATGTTAAGGCTAAATATAAATATTAACTGGGAGACATCCTAGCTTGTGCATATGAAATGACTTGTGAGGCAAGACAAACAGAAAAACTGTCGTGTTAGATCTTATATCTCCACACCTGTGGGAAGCCGCCAAATGCAGCTTTTCCCATCCCTTGGCTTTCTTCTGACATCTCTAATCCCCCACTGGAGTCATTTTATCTTCTCCCACCATGCTGCAAGGTCCTCTGATTGGAGCTCACCCACTTACAAGGATTTTCTTACCGATCTTTTCTCTCTCCCCAGAGCTGCAAGCTTTTGCTCATCATGGACGTCCACTGCCAAGATACCAGGTTGCTCTGTGCTTTGGGGAGGAATTTCCAGATCCACAGAGGCAGAGAAAACTAATTACAGCCCATGTAAGTAGGATTTCTGCCTTAGCTAAATGGAACATATTCCTTGGGGGATGTGAAGCCAGGCTTTTCTCTCTCTTTTAAGTTGAGAGGGAGGTGAGAAATTCTTGAAAATCCAGCACCATCGCAACTGAAGTTAATTTCACAGATCTGTCAAGGACCGACTGGTGGCCCTGGAAGGGTCAGACCACCTGATTTCCTTTTATGCAAGACATAGGTGCCATCAGTGACCTCCTTTGCAAAGCTCTGTGAGAGCTCGAGTTGAGAAGTGCCCTATGAGAGCTGGACACCATCAATATTACAGGTCCAGTAGAGCAGTGCCTTAGGCTGCAAGGCCAGTGCAGGATGTGCTGCTTTCATAAGGGCTGCCTTTAGAGGTGCTCCATAACTCCACTTTGCTCCTCCAAGACCTCAAAAGCTTTCCTACATCATGAATCAAGGGCCGACTGTGCAGCTCCACTTTAGGTAGCTGTCAAGCAAGTGAGCCAGGAGACCACAGTTTGCACACTCAAAACTAGTGTTTCAGGATGCTATCTGAGAGAGGATGATGATGAAGACTGCGACAAGGTACTTTCTACAGTGGCTCTATTGGCCCATCAACCCACGAGAGAGTGATAATGCACATGTTAGTGGCAGGATTTACTTTACTGCATCCTTGGGAAGAACACTGATGTCTGCTTTAATTTTTCTAAAGCACATGGATGCTGTGGATTTCAAATCAGACACTCGTCATGAGTTCTGGCTTTCTCTTAGCTGTGTGACTTTCATACTGCTACACTGCTGCTTGTTGCCCTCTGAATCTCTTGAGTGGAAGGTGGGAAACTCTCAAATCCACCCTGAGATATCCAACAGCTCTTTAAAGGGGCTCTAAATCCTCCTCTCTCCTTAAACTCAGTGCCATCCTCCTTTTAGCTTTCCAACTTTCTAGCCCTCTTTCCTGGCATGGCCTTCCCAGCCTCTTCTCCATCTCCTGTCCTGACAGCATCTCCATGAGCCTGCAACTCCATGATCTTTTGGGCAGCTTTGCACTCTCCCCAGATCAGTTGCTCCTCAACCTACTCAACTTCTCCTCAGGCTAGTGCAGCTCCTGGCTTGGCTGAGTTCTGCTGTGGGGTGGCATGAGATGCTCAGCTGTCTCCCTAAAAGCTAATGTGAGGAAGGGAAAGGAGATTGATAGAGCTGCTCCAGTAAAGTGTTGCCTTTCTGGCTCCATCCCTTTCTGGAAGAAAGCATATGTGTAATTCCTCTGAAATGGGGCCTGTGTCCGAATGGTGAAATTCTGGCTGAGTGGGAAGAGAGGATTGTGGAGAATAATCTGAAAACCTGCTCAGTCCTCAGGTTGAAATAGACCTTCAGATGCTATTTTTTTAGCATGCAGCTTAAATATTTACATACAGTGCCCAAAGCCCCGAGAGGGAATAGTGTTTTTGGGGTAGACAGAAGCGAAGGCTGTGCTAGATCATATGATGATGTCAGTGGCTGAATAGATTTCTTACTAGAGTGTCAATGAATAGAAACGAGTAACTAATTTAAAACACAGTTGTTTGGCAACACATCTAAGCACAGCTGAGGGCTCCAGCGTTTCAAGTTAAAGTTCTTGAGAGTGAAGGCTGGATTGTCAAAGCCCTGGGTGCACATTTGAATGTGATCGACTGGGCCATTGCCATGCCTAGTGTGTGCAGCCCCAAAGCAGACATCGCTCACACCTATGGACTGGCTGCTGGTGTGCGATTGCAAATACATCATTTGTGTCACTGATGCTGCTAAATACCTGCCATGAAGGTAAGGCATCCATGCAGTAAGCAAAGCACTTATCATAACAGGAAAGCCCTGTCGTAAAACAATGATTAGTGGAAAAGTTATTTTCCCATTCTGGCGAGTAGAACTGTTTTGTCCGATCTTGTGCTTAATGTAAAAGAGTCATAAATAAGAGCTAATGTGAAGAGCGTGAAATATTGTCATATGTCTGATTAACATTTTGTCTGTTCTTAAGGTTGAACCAATGTTTGCCAGGCAGCTGTATTATTTTGCTCAACAAAACAGTGGACATCTTCTGAGAGGCTATGATTTACCAGAACTTGTGACTAGTCCAGAAGATTATCACAGATCTATTCGCCATTCCTCTATTCAAGAATAAATCCTCAGAATGATTGTTTTTAAAGGCACTGTAAAGATTATGCAGAACGGAGGAGCAAATGTGGACTGCAATTTGGAGGTCCGAATCGCAGCTGGATGCGTTCAGGGAACCAAGGGTTCAAAGATAGGAAAATGAACTAGAACAATATTGTATGATACATATTATGAGTTTTCAACTTTTGGATGCTACACCTCACATAGATTCCACTGTTGCTGGGAATAACTCGAAACTGACAAAATGATTTCTATGTTTACGTATGCTTAATGTTCTCCTTCGGTTTTGAGGACTGATTCTTATCGAAGACTTAAATCCATAGTTTACACTGTTACATTTACAGGGCTATTTATTCTGGATTACTGATCTCAGGGAAGGTATATAAATTTGTGGTTTTCTCAGTTTGAAACTGTAGCTACTACAGACGGGTTGCAAATGTAGATGGTTTATTAAGACTAGCTATACATGTAAGTGGTGATAAATTTAGATTGATAAGTGTGGTAGACATTTTATGCCTATATTCTTGTATAGAAATTTCCACATATTTTTAAAAAACAATGTAATTCTTCAAAGAGATATTTTTTTAATGCCTGACTGACATTTTTCCTTACAATGGATTTTGTTGCTGCCACAGTTTTTGGCCCATAACAGCAGTTTTTAAGGTGGTGAATTTATGGTACTGCATTATGAAAAGTGACCATTTAAATCAAATTACCTGTGGATTTAGTGGATCAATCAATAAAATTGAAGAGTCCCAAAGAGCAGGTTTAAAAATAAGTTGCATTTTAAAATTATTACAAGCTACCATGCATTATATATATATATATGCATGTATTATATATATAATATGCACTAGAATTAAGTTGGTGGACCTTGAAAAAAACAGCAGAAAAATGGTACTGCTAAGCTTTCCTCATGTCTCATGCATGAGCCAAGTTAAAATAATTACCATTTCCACATTGTACAGAGCCAAATTCTGTTCTTCCTGTGTGCTCAGAGCTTTCCTCTATGGACAGTGAAGTCAATATCAAGGAGGAATTCAAGGAGAATAGATTTTTGGCTTCCCTTCTTAGGCCGTTCAGTTAATTTTTTTTTTTTTTCTTTTGTTTTGAAAAGTTTCACAGATGTATAATTTCATGCAATTTACAGCTCCTAAGCTATGATGCCATTTCACAGTTAAAGCGAAGAAGAGGTGTGTTGGGTATGTATCTTGGTGACACATTCCTTTGCGTTATGCTGGAGATCAGACCAGCTGGAGTTTTCACTCCAGAACATGATCCTCCCTATGAATAGCAAACAGACTTCACTTGATTTTCTAAATAAGGAATTAAAAAATGCTACTTGGTCTGGCAGCAGACTTGTGTTCTAGGGACTTTTAATATATACATCTTAAAGATGCATACTCCTTTGGGATATATTATCCTGCTCCTTCTCTACAGTGCCAAGCGGATCAATGGGTCATTTTTATTTTTGTGTTCTTTGCTACTTGAAGTGTTTTCTTGGCTTACAGATTTTCTTAATGGAGACCTCTTTCTTCCACATTAAAAACATTGCTTTAGGTGACTTTCAGAGCTTCTGTGTATACTTTTGTGTATACTTTTGGCATTTTACCTAATTGGGACTTCTGCATTCAGACTGCACTGATGTGATACAATTATTTGATGTGTTTTTCACTTTTTTTTTTCTAGTGGTTGTTGCTTCATATGCTCATTGCTTCAGCTTGCATCTTAGAATAAAATCTTTTTCCCTACGAATTCGATTTGTACGTGTTGTTTTCAGTACTGGGGCAAATCTGACAGGCTCAGTTCTGCACAGCTAACCTGTGCAAAACTGCTGGCTATGTCTATGGGGAACTGTGTTTTAAGTCAAAAGTGCAGGGAGAGGTCATCACTGGGAAAGGATTTTTACTTACAAAACTGTCTGCGATATTTGTTCAGTTGCGAGGAAAAGGGAAAATGGGGAGGTTGCGGCTTGGCTGCCGGCGGCTGTTCAGTTCCTTAGGCAAGTCCTGCTGATGGAGATGGGCTCCTCGGTGCTCTGCCCGTGCAGCCCTGGGCTCTGATGGGCTCCAGTCCATCACTTGCTGGGGCCGAGGCACCAGGTGACATCAGGGTGACTTTTAGGCGTAGCTATAGATGTAGGAGTGCCTACAAGGGAGAGGAAATCCAGAAGCGGGTGAGAGGGAAGATGATAGCAAAGTAACTGAAATAATTATGTTAAAACTATAGGAATTAATTCTGCAGAGCATCTGCCCCTGGAAATAGGGGGTCCTTAAGAAGGTTCAATCGCTTGCAGGCGGAGAAAATTGAAAATTATTTAAGATATCTGTAAAATATCTTAAGATGGGGAGCCATGCTTTTTTTTTAATGTGATGTCATAACATGTTGAGTATCAAAGGTATATTATAATTTTTGACTTTGGAATGAGCTTTTATTATTTTTCTTGAAAAAAAAAAAGCATGATTTAAAATCAGTAACTACAAAGAGGGAGGGAGAAGAACACTGTCTAAGTTCTGGCCAAGCACAGCTTGCTTGATATTAATGAAGGTTAGCTCCAGGTGAAAGATTTATTTAAAGCATGCAAAGAGGTCCAAATATTTCTGCTAGGGGGTGTGTATTGAGGGAGACTGTGGGAGAAAACAAGCTGCTGAGTAGAGTAGAATATAGAATAGAAAGGAAGACTTTAAAGGTGTATTTGACTTGTGCAGCAATCTTTTGTTACTCAAAATAACTAACGCATACATAAAGTAAGTGGGGCAAAAAGAGAAATAAAAGATAAACGCTGAAAACATTTTCTTGTTTTAGTATTTTTGCAGTCACTACGTGAAAGCATTTGAGGTACTTCCTACTTCTGTTAAATTCTGTTTATAGTTTCTGAGGTCTACTTCCTTCCTGTTATGATTTCAGTGGCATTATACATGACATGTTTTACTCCTGTCAATACCGAAGGCATGGCTGGTGTTTTAAAAATGAATTTACAGTGTGTATTTGTGTCAATATCAGTTTCTTTTATGTTAGCATTGCCACAATCAAAATTATTTCTTGAAGGGGGTTCGTATCAGAGTTCTGGAAATGAAGTATATATTTGTAAAACTTAGTTCTGCCAAGTGATTCTGCCTCCTACTGAAAACTGTATTTGCCTTACAGGGGATGTAGGTTAACCAGAAATGAGGAGATATATTTTAAGCTGAAATACAACGTAACACGGTTTGTGGAAAAAACACAGGATTCACGTGAAAACCCCTGTGGCCTTTTAAACAGGCATATATATGCTGTTTACATCAGCGTTTGTCAGCAGAGTGGAGGTGGGGAAACACCACCTTCAGCGAGAGCTTTCAGGAAAAAGTAAAGCATTCTCTGCTGCACACATTTAGATCATTGTCTGTGTTTATACATATAGAGAGGGAAAAAGAGAGCAAAAGAGGACTTTTTTTAAAAAAAGAGGAGTAATTTGAAAAAATAATTTCACATTTCTCAGACAGAAGTATGTGTCATATTTAGCAGGGCTTGGAGGGCAATAGTTTAAAGACTGATGAAAACTTTTCATCCATCAATATCACCAATATTCCATCAATATCTGATCTGGTTAGCAGGTGTCAAAGAGCTACATACTTATGATCAAGTGTTTGTGAGTTTGGTCAGCCCCAAATAGAAGCTAAAAGGTCCTTTTGACTTGGAACCAGTTTAAACATACTTTGTCTGCAGGTTATTCTCAAGTTAATATGTGCTTATATTTCATACGCGTATCTAGAAACTGCGTTATTTTTGAATCTCAGTGGATTGGCTGCATTCACTAACCTGTACAACTCTGCAGACACGGTTGGGTGACACGTGGAAATTGCCCGACTGTTTGCACAGTGCTGAATGACTTGAATTTGCTAAAATGCCAGTCAAGGTGGAACCAGCAGGAGTCTTAAAATAACAATTCATTGAACCTCCTTGTAGACCAAACAGCTAAGTAGCTGAACAATGCAATAGGGTAGGATAGGATGGGCTGCACTGGAAGATGGGATCCTGCCCTTCTGGCAATCAGCAAAAGGGTAAAGCACTCCCATATGTGACCCAAAAAATGTGTTGAGCACCTTGGTTCTGAGCTGGGTTTTCAGCTTCTGTTTTGCAGTGGTGGATTGTGGCCCAAAAGCTGATGTGCAAGTAACCCAAGGAGGAAGGTGCTGACCCTGGGGGCCCTGCACAGGCTGGTGTTTTCTAAAAAGGGAATGGTCAAGAAAGGGTAGAATCTGGACCGTTTTTTTCTAGCTCTTAGATGTGAGGAGGTTCATGGCCTGGAAAACAATGGAGATGAAACACAGGACTGCATTTTGCAAATGCATTTGTATTGTTTTTGCAGAGCTGGCACAGTATCAATGTCTCATATGTGTGTGCATGCCAGCTGGTGGTCTCCTGCCAGTTTAGTTACAGTGTTATGGATTAAGGCTAGGTTTGGGACTTGCGCTCTGGTCACTTTTTCTAAAATTAGTCTTCCAAACTTTGACATTTTTTTTCCCTCAATAATAATAGTAATAGTAATAAGCATAAGTTCTGTCTCTAAAGTCAAGAGAAAAGATAGATATAGGTGACTTCTTTTGCATAAACTGCAGATAATACATGTCCTCTGCCATCTTCCTTGGAAATAGTCCAACTTCACTTGGCCTTGGTCTGTCTTGGTTTCAAGTCTGGCTTCTGCATTCTTTCTCTGGAAAGATCTGAATTCCAAAGACTTGGAGAGTGAGGTTGGTCTGGTTTTTACTCCCTCTTTTTAATCCCTTTCCCGGACAGGCAGAGGTGATGTCCATGGAAAAACAATGAAATGTCATCTGTCCTGATGAAGTAGACATCAGGACAAGCTGTCCTGAAATTGTCCTCAGGTATGAGCTCTGATGAGGACCTTAGAACAGATACTTGTACCTTAGTGACCGAAAAATACTTGCCAAAATCTCTCTGCGACATCAGTACTAGTGCAACATACATATCACCATGTGCATCAAACTTACTTACTTCACCATATTCTAATCATATTGTCCACATTTCTCCTTCTCACTTTCTTCACCAAGAGCAGATGTTCAAATCTGACTGCCCTAAATCAGGCAGCTAAAGGAATGTCCTATTTTTTTTTCCATTCCCCAAGATTCAGAATCTCCTCCTGGGCTGATAGAGGTGCCA